ATAACCAGGAGGCACTCTCAACAGCCGCCGAGGAGTTGATCCTGAACAATGAGGCCTCTTCGCCTCTAGCTGAGCCAGCCTCAGGCAACTCGGTCATCATGAATGCGAGGGCCTACCAGTCCGAAATGCTTGCCGAGAGCATGCGGCAAAACGTTATTGTTGCTGTAAGTCTCGTCGAGCCTGTGGATCCAGTCCCAAAGAGACCATGGGTTATTAACACTTGATAGATGGACACAGGTAGTGGCAAAACACAAGTGTAAGTGGACTGCCTACGAGCAAGCGTAGTTTCGTGACATTGATAGAAGCTTCTATAGAGCTGTTCTGAGAATTAGAGCTGAATTGGAGAGAACGACGTCCGAAAAGGTGCGTTAAGGCCATTACGGATCTCTGTTGCTAGGCTAACTGTACAGATTGTCTGGTTTCTAGCTCCCACGGTATCGCTTTGTAGCCAACAGTTCGAAGTTCTCAAAACCCAGATACCAGAGGTTCAGATAAAGTTCCTCAGTGGCGACGATAACGTGGACTCATGGTCCGACCAGCAAACTTGGGATGCGGTTCTTCTCAATGTGCGCGTGGTTGTGTCGACATACCAAATCCTGTTGGACGCGATGTCGCACGCATTCGTGCCTATTTCCAGGCTATCTCTGATAGTCTTTGACGAAGGTTTGTGGTTTAGAGGTTTAGAAAGGGGCAGAGGCTAACCAGTACGAAATAGCTCATAATTGCATCGGGAAGTCTCCGGGAAGCAAAATCATGTCACTCTTCTACCATGAAGAACAACGGAAAGGCCTCCCTACTCCCCATATCCTGGGTCTGACAGCAAGCCCGACTTTTGGCTCCAAAGTCGAAAGCATCAATACCCTCGAGGCCACGCTGGACGCTGTTTGCAAGAGCCCGACGATGCACCGAGACGACCTTCTTGCTGCTGTCAACAAGCCAGAGCTGGCATCCGCAATCTTTCAAAATCGAAACGAATACGATATTCCCAACAGCTTGCGAAGCTTGAGAATGGCTATACAATCTCTCGATATCTCGGAAGATCCCTTCATTCGACACTTACAAGCGGAGGGAACAGATCGCAGTCAGCGTGAACTCATTGCGGTTCTCAAGAGTCACGACACGTACATCCAGAACCAAATGACTTCTTTTGGCCGGCAGGCGAATCAGATATTCAACGAACTTGGACCTTGGGCTGCAGAGTATTATATCTGGGAAGTGATCTCAAGGTTCAGAGCCGCAGTCAAGGCCCAAAGCGTCTGGCTTGACACATGGAAGGATGAAGAGAAACAATACCTCGTCAATGTTCTCAGTCAAGTCGATTGCCAATGTCCATCGAAAGAGACCATCAGCCGTGCTGTCCTGTCGGATAAGGTGTTCGTTGTCATTGAACAATTGCTACAGTATAAACCTGACACCATTGGCATCATATTCGCCAGAGAAAGAGCAACTGTTGCGGTTCTATGTCATCTGCTAACATCGCATGGCTTGCTACGAGAGCGATATCGAATCGGGGCCATGATGGGCACATCGCAGTTTCAAGCCAAGAAGAAAGATATATGGGACCTTTCTCGAGTGGAAGATCAGCGGTCACTGCACCAATTCCGATCCGGGAGGAGCAATCTTTTGGTTGCCACCAGTGTACTAGAAGAAGGCATCGATGTGCCGGCCTGCAACTTGGTTGTCTGTTTCGATACCCCACCGAACCTCAAGTCGTTCATCCAACGCCGCGGACGGGCCCGAAAGAAGCAGTCCAAGCTTCTCATGCTACTTGACAGCTCGAATCCACTGGGGAAAGAGTGGGAGACCCTGGAGGCGGAGATGAAGGCCCAGTACGAAGAACAAGAGAGAGAATTGGAACATCTACAAGAGATCGAGCAGGCTGAGGAGCCAAATGAGATGATCTTCAAAATCGAACAAACAGGGGCTGTTCTGGATCTTGATAACGCAAAGCAGCATCTCGACCATATTTGCCGGATACTTTCCCCGGGAGAGTTCATCGACTGGCGGCCAGACTACATCATCGACAAGACGGACACAAAAGGCACGCCAGACTTGCGGGCCACTGTTCACCTGCCGAGCTACTTACCGGCCTCGGTCCGCAGCTCTGAGAGTCAGTTGGCTTGGAAATCAGAGCAAAATGCTACGAAAGACGCTGCGTTTCAAGCCTATCGCAATCTGTACAAGGCTGGACTTGTGAACGACAACTTGCTGCCTTTCAAGCCGGAGGACTTCGTACCCGGAATAGACAAAAGAGCTGCTATTCTGCAGGTCAACGGTTTACTCAATGCCTGGATAGGAGTCGCCAAGGCCTGGAAAGTTGGCGACAATTTGCGGGCAACTCGGATCCTACTCAAGGATTCGGACGGTGTTATCCAGGGAGAGTACGACATGGTCATCCCCCTATGGGTCCCTGGGTTGCAGACGATACCCATTCATCTGGACTACAACGTCACCTGGTCAATTGAGTTTGGACATCAGCTTCCCATTGACAAGCTCACCGGCAATGATGACACAGCTGTACTTCTTGCTCTGCCGTACGGTCACCGGTGGGTTTCGGCGGATCTCCAGCAGATTGTGAGGTTCAGTGCAGTTGGTGCTGGAGATATGTCCGTCGATCAAATCGGCGTCAAAGGTTTTGTCCCAGGGGCGATGTCAGACTACGATCTGACCTGTTTCATTCGCGACCAGACTGGTTCCCCATATCTGTACGACAATGTCATCCCCCGCAAGCCGGCACCCGAAACTGTACAGAAGATGTTTTACGAATTCGAAAAGGCCCCAGAGGATGAACCTTACCTGGCTCTCAAGAAGTGGTCCCGTAGGTCGGATTTCCTTCATCGGCCACAGAGCGATCCCAGTCACGGCCCAGCTACCATCAAGCCGTATAATCGAGTCTACCCCATGTCGTGGGCAAAGGTGGACAACATCCCTGCCAAGTATGCCCAGTTCGGCGTGCTTATACCATCAATCTTGCACCGTATCGAGACGTACCTGGTGGCGCGAGAGCTGTCTATGGGCGTACTGAGGCCACTCGCCATCTCTGACCCGTCTCTGGTAGTCACAGCCATCAGCGCGGGAAGCGCGTGTGAACCTACAAATTACGAACGCATCGAGTTTCTAGGCGACTCTATTCTCAAGTTCTCCGCCACAATCAATGTGGCGGCTCTGAGTAAGTCTATCTCCAATAACCCGACGAGCTGTGCACGAATTCTAGAGCTAACACGAGACCAGACCCGGACTGGCCAGAACGGCTCCTGTCGTTTAAGAAAGACGCCATCGTCGCAAATTCGACCCTCTGCAAGGCGGCCATCAAGCACGGTCTCGACAGATTCGTCCTCACCAAGCCCTTCACGGGACAGAAGTGGCGGCCAATCTACGTGGAGGACGTGCTCCAGCACGGCGAGGAGCCTACCACGAGGAAAATATCCACCAAAACACTCGCAGATATCGTCGAAGCACTGATCGGGGCCTCGATGATTGACGGCGGTCTCCCTAAAGCACTAAAGTGCATGTCTATCTTTCTCCAACAGATCAAATGGAAGACCCTAGACGACTGCAGACAGGCCCTTTACGACGTCGCTCCCTCTGGCGTGCAACTCCTGTCTACCCTTGAGCCCTTGGAGCAGCTCATAGGCTACGAGTTTAAAAAGAAGGCCCTGCTGGTCCAGTCCATGACCCATGCCTCCTTCAGCCTCGGCAACACCCTGGGCTGTCTGGAACGTCTCGAGTTCATCGGCGACTCCGTCCTCGACTACATCATCGTCAACCGCCTCTTCTCCATCGAACCTCCTCTCCCACATCAGACGATGCATCTCCTCAAGACAGCAATGGTCAACGGCGACTTTCTCGGCTTCCTTGCTCTAGAGCAAGCAGTCAGTCAGGACGAGGTCGTCATAACAGGGACCGACGGCGGCAACAAGAGACCCGAGCTGCAACACACGCGCTTCGCGCTGCCCCTGTGGAAGTTTATGCGCCACCAATCCCCCGCCATTGGCCTCGAGCAGCTCAACGTCACGAAACGGCACGCCGCGCTCAGGGACGAGATGGTCGAGGCGATGGAGCGCGGCACGACGTACCCCTGGGCCCTCATGGCGCGCATGCAGCTGCGCAAGTTCTACTCTGATATATTCGAGTCCCTTCTCGGCGCCGTGTACGTCGACTCCGGGGACCTGGACGTCTGCGCTGGTGTCGTGGAGCGGTTTGGGATCTTGGCGTACCTTGATCGCATTTTAAGAGACGGCGTGCATGTGTTGCATCCCAAGGAGGAGTTGGGTCATTTGGCGGACAATAAGACTGTGACGTACGTTTTGGACGTGCAGGATGTCGAAGATGGTGAGAAGCGGTTCTCGTGCAAGGTCATGGTTGGCGAGCGGTGCGTTGTCGAGGTTGACGGTGGGATTTCTAGAGACGAGGTCAAGGTTAAAGCCGCGGAGGCGGCGGTAAGAATACTCAAGGCGGAGAAGTCTGCAGCAAAACAAGAGAGCATGGACGTACAGGAAGATGAAGATGTGGTCATGGGATAAGAGGAAAACGGTTAGAAAATGTCGGTATGTCACGGACACAAAGGCAGAAGAAGGATTTTGGCAGACTGGAAAAGCAATCAATTCTTATTTTGATGTTTCGTGTAAGCAAATTTGCGTTTGATTTCCCTTTTCCGAACTGACTGCCTATCGAGAGGTGGGATAAAGTGCAACAAGAGGGTATAACTGGCGCTTTGCCCCTGAACTCCTGATGAAAGAAACGATAAGCTGCTCGCATTAGAACCATGAAGAGACTGGCATTCTCAACTTTCCAGTCTGAAGATACTCCCATGCTTCCTGACTGCGGCTGGAAAAATCATAAGGTCCCTGAAGCTTGGCTTAATACAAACCGAAATACGCCATTTGGCCCTGAAAGCAAAGTTGCGCCGAAAATTGAGGGTCATGCTCGTGACATCGTTCTCTGCGGACTGGCGAAGAACAAGTACCAAGGAAGTACATTCAAGAAAGAAACTCATACGCCTAGTCGTCGGTGAGGTCAATAGCCTCCCTGTTGGCGTCGATCTTGATCTTCTTCCATTCGCGTTTGGCAGGCTCCTCGGTGAGGTCGTAGATCTCAGCAAACTCGCGTTTGATGGTAGGGCCCTTTCTCTCTAGCTTGACGGTGCCGGATCGACGTCCATTCTGCCCTACTTTAGTCTTGGGTTCTCTACACAGCGGTAAGGCTGAAACTCACGTTAATCTCGTCCAGACGCTCCGCAGCTAGCCGTCTGATATCGGCCTCGGAAAGCTCGTCAATGGCCTCGGGACTTGGAGACCGAGGAATGATGAGCTCCTTTTGCAATGCATCTGAGAAAGCGTGAGCTAAGTAAGCAGATAGCCGGCTTGCAGATCGCCTCATACCTCTGGAACGGTATTTGAACATGAAGCACGCCATAGGATTACCGCCGTTGAGATATTCAGCGCACACTGACTTCCTCTTGGAAACAAATCCACCGTCAGTGAAGCTATGGAGCATGTAAGCACAGGCAGAATTGTCGCATGGCGAGAGGATGCAACTCACGAGGTACCGTGAGAGACGGCGCGGCCCTTGAGCGCCTTTTCCGCAATGTTGAAACTGGAATTCTGATTATCGCGATAGTGCTCGTGGCCTGACGAGTACGAAGGCCCTGTAATGGTCAAGGGGTAGACAAAGACCTCGATGACGCCGAGAGACTTTGCTTTCTTGGAGTCTCCCTCGACGCGCTCCTTGGTGGCATCGTCAACTGAGACGCATGTCAATACTCAGAACACATACCCATGGCGCCGCCAAGATATGACAACTTTACCAGTAGTGACTTGGGAGAACTTGAATTTGCTCAGACGATCGTAAGAGGGGTCTCTTGAGCTTCCTCGAGAACCCTCAACAACTGTGCTCCATTTGTAGAATGGATCGAATGAGTTGAAGCGACTCGCCTCGCAAACGACACTATCCATGCGCTTGCCATCGACATATAAGTAGAGTGAGAAGGCGCTTTTCGGGCTCTCCCACCGGTGCATGTGATTAACCTCGTACTTTACCGTGAAGCAGGTGTCATCCTTGGACTCAATGTATTTGAAGGTACGGTGGGTTGCGTGCTTGCGGTTGACGTCGTTCTCAAAGCCATCCGGGTCGTCGTACTCAACAGCTTCCTGGCCATTGACTTGGATGGTGACTTTCACACCCTTGAGCTCGTCGATGACGGCCATCTTGCGTCACAGTCTCGCTAGTCCACTTGAATGACCCGCCGACAGAAAAGAAAGTGGTGGTCCAAGTCGTTCGTTCCGTCGTTGAAATAAGGTAAGGCGTATGTGCGGTGATGAGAGAAAAGTGGAATGTAGTCAATTTGGAATGAGACGTTTAGACCCACGTGAAGATGGGGAGGAAGAAGGTGCGAACGCGACTGAAAAGGCAATTATTGGGTGGGGGTTGCCTTACACCGATGTGCGCTCGCTGCCTGATTGGCTGTTCTTCATTGTTCAGGCAGAAGTGGGGTACCATGCTGCCAACTGTAAGAGCTGGCAGTTTCCCGATACATCATGTTCATTCGCCAAAGCTTCGTCGATAAGTGCCTACAGATACTGCCAAGCCGAAACAGGCCGCCCGTCTCAAGTTGCTCTAATTTAGGGACGAAAAGAAGAAATCGACGTCTTTACGGTTGGCAAACGGGTCCTTCCCGCATTCCTCCATTGATGAACCATATGGGACGTAGTCTGGTATAAAACCTCGCTAAAAAAAAAAACTCTGGGGCACGCCAGCGGGTAGATCCCCCTGCACCAACGGCCAAGAGTGGACTCGGGCAAGCCACCGACCCATCATCAAGGAAAGTACCAACTCGGAGTGACACAATAGCTTGCCGCTCAATATCTCACCTTTATTTCTCCTATTCCCATCACTGCTCCTGCTCCTGCTCCTATTTTTACTATTATTGCTACTATTATGATTGCCTTTTACTTTCTACACTGTACAATCTGCTTTCGAGAGGGTACCATAATCAATCGATAATATTGATAAATGATAATCTTAGTAGTTTTAAAAATGTACTTAGGTATAAAAGATCGTCATAACGTATGCTAGCAAGCTCTTGAGTAGATAGATTAGGGGAATTTAGAGCAGAACGTGACCCCTATTATCTCGTGTCAAGGCCGTAAAGCAACAAAGTGATGCTTTAGGTATTGTGCGGCGAACAGGGCTCCCTGGATGACATAGTCTGTATCTTCAATACCGGAACTTCGGCGAAAACGAGTATAGAGATGAGAAGATGCGAGAAATTAAGCGAATGTCTGAGCAACAAGTGGTCGAGGCCTTGAGGGAGGTAGACCAAAGACCGCGGGGTCTGGTCAAGGAGTCAAGGCCATATAGACCCCGTCAATCCTCTTCCTGTCACTAGCCACCAGACGCCCGTCTAGGTCAACGGGTCAGGTCAAAGTGGCTGGGTGGTGGAGAGGTTAAGAATTCAACAATAAAAACGGCCACAGCCTACTCGACGACAGTCTACCAGTTCGAAGCCAGCATGAGCATCAAGAGATGTAACCATACCGGTGGTGAAGTCTTTTTCGATGTCGCGAGACGGGCTTCAGTGTATTATATAGATTTGTAAACTTTCATCGATGCACACTGGTGTGTAGTAGGTCACCCACCCGCCTTGACTACCTTTCCGTGCGCTGTTCTTGTTTACCCTTGACTTGTTGTTCACTAACGAGGTGAAGTACTTCGGCTCAAGCAAAAAACTTGACGCGAAGAGGGTCCCCATGGTTCATCTAAGCGTCCTTTGGATGCATGGTCTTGCAAAGCAACCACGCCCTTACCATGGTTACGTTGAAGAGACTCTCATCTTGAGGCACGAAATATCAAACTCGTTAGGCACTTTACTTCGAGAAAGCACGACCGAATTTGGCCGCCTTTAGAGGCTGATACTGGCATCTTCTCGGCAGGGTTGCCTGATGCTTCACCGGGCTTGCTACTAGCCCCCCAATGCACCTTCCCCTTTTACGGACTGGACTCCTCGCCCTGGAATTCCACCCTCCTCCTTCCTTCCACTCTCCTCATTCCTTCCAATCTCCTCCCTCTACCCATAATTCTCCTTCCTCTAGGTACCCATATTTCTTCTTCCTCGCCCAGAAGCTCAGACTTATCTGAACTCACCAGTTTCTGTATGTGAATCGCTTAACTCCAGAGGCCTTACTCGCTCTCCAAACGCCATCCCACGACCAAGACTCGGAGGGACCATGGCTGTGATTGATGGCCTCCCAGAGATCAAGGTCTCCATCCGTATCAACGGATTCGAGGAAGACTGCATCGAGTACGACGATTCAGATCCTCCGAAATCCACGTCATCTCGGGGCTCGGCAACTCATACCACTTCCAAAGTCATCGAAAGTCAGGTCGATGCCAGATTTTCTATCCACTATGAGATTCGAAACCGCCGGTCTTGGATAAATGGCAAGAATTGGCTCGCGTTGGTGCTTCACATTGACGGCCAATACGTCGCCACATATTATCGTGGACCTGGTCAGCTGGTCAATCAAACCATCGTCTCAACCATCGATAGTTTTGGGGACAGGTTCAGCAAACCTGGCAAAGACATCAGAAGGCACTTCAAATTCGCGTCGATCAAAACAGGTATCTCCTCGCTTTCTCATTTTATCGATTCTGAGACGCTGACTTTGATAACGCAGCCGAAGAGAGCAACGAGCAGTTATCAGGAAATCAATCAATCGTGGAGCACCTCGGCATTATCGAAGTGACTGTGTTCCGTGTCGAGCTTGAAGGCCACAAACCCAGGACCCCGGCACAATCGAGAACAGAGAGCATAAGGAATGTCTCTGAAATTGCAATCAAAGGCAAAAACATATCACACAGTACATCGTAAGAAGTTCAACACCTTTATCTGATCATACTGCTAACTGTGTGGTCGTCAGCTTCACTGAAGGAATAGAGAAGAAATTAAGCAAAATGAAGAGAACATTCAAGTCCAGGGATGAAACCCAGCCAATTGCTCGATTCTTCTTCCGATACAAGTCTAGGGGTTCTCTTCAAATCGATGGCATCATTCCTCGAAATCCTGCTCTGAGCCCCTCTCCCGAGTTCTCTGCTCCACCCCCGCCCCAGGCCGTGGCAAACTTGCCGCTGGCAGATATCATGAGACTTGCCCAAGAGCGTCTGGACCAGCTGGAAGTAAGTGATTTCCTACTCAAGGTTATGTCAAACTGACAATTTCATCAGCCTCAAGTCAAGAGAGAGCCTGGAACCAGTGTGAAGCGCGAAGCGGACGAGGAGACCGACTCCCGTCCACGCAAGATCTACAAGGTGGACGCGGATGGAACGATAGACCTTAGCGATGACTGAGGGTATTATGAAGTGTCCGTTTTCAGACTTGAGAGGAGGAGGCCATGTTGGCCAGTGATACGGATGGTCTTTCGACTATATGTGTTAGAACGGGGCGTAAGGATACTCAAGTCGTATTTGTAGTTGTAGAAACAGAACAATGAGGGAAAGCAGTTTCTTCGAATCAAATCTCACTGTTCACTCGGCCATTCATAAGCGTGTGTATGCCTTGCTACTGCTACCTCTCGGCACAATGACGGAATAAGCAGGAGACGGGCCTCGAAGAAGATGAATAAGCAGACCATATATCTTAGTGACAGTGACTAGCCGTGGTTTAACGTGGCTGATGTAACGACTTTGAGCCCGAGAGCACATAGACTACCAAGGAATTCACATACTCTACAGAAAGCAGAAGCCTTTCGGGGGGTTTCTCGCCAGTCCGCTACTAACGGATTATATCACTGGATGTAGGCGTCACCGGAGCAAAGCAGACGCATGGCTTCTCTTTACTCATCAGGCCACAATTTAGCCTCATTTCACACGGTGTGCACAAGAATTCATCACAGGAAGCGTCAAAATTGGTGGCAACAGCTCGTATCTCTTTACCAGAGATGCCAATCTTGCATACGGAATCTACCTACTTGGCCGTTCAAAGTCAACCTTGTTTCCTTTAGTAAGATCGCACGAGTTACAAGTACAGCCGTTGTATCTATCTATCTCTCTCTTCCTTAGCGAGCGGCAGGCTCGTAGGAGTCCGCTCGTCAACATCGATCTCTCATTCGGACCACTCCTTTCCCACTTCGATGCCGAGGAACTTTCACCCCGCGTCTAGCAGCTTCTCTGATCCGAGCCATGACCTCTGATCCTCAGTATGTAGAAGTAGCAAGAAACTTCTTGGGTCTAGAAGGTGAGTCGTCGCCGAAAGCCACCGCAGCAGACCTCTTTCTGTTGAGTTGAGCGTGTTTCGACCGAGTCTCTTGAATCGAGACGGCCTCGTCATCCGGTATCTCTCCCCGAGGCTTCTGCTCCTTCGCGATGGGCTCTGGAAGCTTGGGTCGGATCGGAATGACTCGTTTGTTCAGTTGAGAGTCAAGCTTATCTCCCTTTTTGGGTAATATAGTAGTTGTCGAGGCAGGTTTCGCACCAGCGGTTGTCTGTGTCTGTGCAGAAGCTTCCGGCAGACCACGAAGCTTCGCAGGCAATGAATAGGAGGGTGTCTTGGCGTCAGAGCCTCTGAATCCGCCTCGATCCTGCTTTGAAAGGGCTGGTTTCTTGGACATGTTGATCAAGCCCTCACCGCGATTGCTCTCATTATTGTCCTTGGGTCTGTGTACGGGCAAGTCTCCTGAGCAATGTCAGTCTTGGGGAAAGATGAACTCGATCAGGAAATTTACAGACCTCTTGGTCCATATCTGAAGTTGAACCGGGCGATAGGACGCTCGTAGTTGAGCCGCTTCACGTCGTATGTGTCTGCCGCCAGGGCTTTCTTGACCTTCTTCCCAGATCCCAAGCTGGATTCCGCTGTTATCGAACGTTTTTGGCATGTATGAGAAGGCCGTGCTTGCAACTTACCGTTTGGTCTGAACTGATGACCCATATGCAGTAGTGTCGTCGAGTCGCTGCCTCTCCGGTGCACCAAGTAGCTTGACGATGTATAAATCAACGCGAATGGTACCTCGAATCGCGCTGCCGTCGTTCTTGGCCGCGGCAAACTTGAAAGGCTGTAAGACCTGTCGGCCTTCACTGTTCACTCCTGTAACTCCAAAGAACTCCATGGGGAATCGGCGCGATGCCCGGGCATCGATTACGGTCTTCGTATACAACCGCCGAAGAACCTCATTGTCGTCAAAGTGAATCAGCACCATCAGCCCCTCATCCTTGGCAAGGAGTCGACAAATTCCTGCGCCAAGAGAAGCCAGAATCGAAAATTTCGCTCCCTCCTTGACAGCGATGACTTTGCTGCAGCTGAATGGGGCGCTGTTTTCGAGGCTCTCTGCTGTAACGTCATTTCGTTCCGGGGCTGGAGCACCAGCGACGGTAATCACCACTCGCATGTTGATGTTGAAGTCGAAACCTGCCATCGCTCTAGCTTGCTGAACGAGAAGTATTCTCGTGGCTTGTCGGTGTGGTCGTACTTCTGCAACTCAACCGAGCTTGAGATCGACGAACAAGGCAGGGTTGTGGCTGGAAACGTTCGATTTGCAGCAGTCCAGTATTCAAATTAGCCAGAAAGGCCCTGGGTGTACCTTACTGTAGAGGGGAATCCAGAAATCCCTTCTGCCTTTCATTCTTCGAGTCGTGGGGCATCTGTAGGGTCAAAAATTCGCGGACTGGCTTTGGGTCATGTCTAATTGCCTTGGGGCAGGGGACGAGGCCTGACCGAGCCACCGCATGGTGAAGGAGCCATCAGTGCAGAGATCTATAGTAATAGTACCAGGAATTCGGCTCACTGCGTTTAATAGCACCTCTCTCGCGAAGGTGAGAAGAGACTCTTCAGTATTCGACTCCCTGTTGTGGTTAACTTCGCACCCGAAGTCACATAGAACAACAAAACACCTGCATACTTGAGAACTTTTGTATTTAACACAACTCACGGTGGTTCGGGAGTTAGCTTCCTGATGGACGTGAGTCCTACTGCTCTTCCACCTCGAACCAAGTCTTCTATCAAAGCAATGTCGACTTCCTTTCAACCAAACAATCCCCCTCGTCCGAAATGTCTTCATTTGGGGCCTTCCATTCAGTACAGTAAACTTCGGCCTGTGAATTTACCACCCCAACAAAGGCTTTGTTTGACGAATAAGACTCTTCCAGTGACCTCCATCCTGTGATAATTCCGTCTTTACAACAAACGCACGATCTCCTGGCCTACATCTCTAGTAGCCGCCCGTGAGATCAATAGCGTCATGGCCATTTCCCAGCTTGATAATCTTGTAAGGACGGGCCAACTGCTCATCAGCGCCATCCGTAAAATCACAGAAGTCGTCATAGCTCCGTTTGTTCTTCTGAGCTGAAGATTGCGCTTGCTCATCCTGATGGGGGTGTCAGTCTATGAACCCTTTTAAAGTCAATCATCACCCTACTTGGAGCTGTTGGTGTCTCTCTCTAGCAAGACGCTCGACCTCATCTTCATGAAGGTCCTCGAATCTAGGAAGGCTCGAATTTCCCAAGTAGGCCGGTTTCTGACGGAAGAAAGGCGCCGGGGCAGGCTCAGGGCTGGGGGTCTGGTGAAGGATCTCCTCAATCTTCAGCGCATCTTTATGATAGTCAGCCTTCTTCAATCCAAAGACACGCCTGTTACACATAGACACATACCTCGCGAGCGATACTTGAATGTGTAGGTCGCGAAGAGGGGGCCAGTGCGAATTCGCTCCATCGCTGCTCGATGGGCAAATCTAGGAGGTCGCAGACTCTTGTTCACCGGCGGGGTGAAGCTGCGAAGACATGGTTAGCATGATGGGTACATTCCCAGAAGAAAATTGTTACACACGAAGTGCCATGGTAGATAGGTCGGCCCTTGATAGCTTCCTCGGATATCTCGCACTTGTTGTACTCCGGCTCGCGGAACGGTCTCTCCAAGTTGACCCATCTGTTGCGGCGTGGACCACCAGCGAATCTGGCAAGTCTGACGCGCACCTCGATTGTACCAAGATCCTTGGCACGCCTCCATTCGCCATCGGTAGCGTCTTGGTCAACTGTGTGGAAAGATCAGCATCGAATATTGTTAGCAGTCGAGTGATGCGGTGGATTTACCTGCAGTAATCGTCTGGAACTTGAAGTTACTCTCAACCATGGCAGTTCTATGCTGGTTGGGATGTCTCTTGCCTTTGAAGGCAAAGTGCCAGCCTCCATGTTTGAAGTCATCATCGTAGCAGAATCGCTTTCCCATGAAGTGGCCGTCGAGGAAGAGAAGGAAAACCAAGCCTTCATCGTGATGGATCCAGGGATCAATAGTGGCATCGTCCAAGACATTGACATGAACTGCGAACTCGGTACCTTCCTTACTCTCAATGTAGTTGCGGGCACACTGCTCGTAGTCGTCCATGTATCTCTCATGCTCATGGTACGGATAAGGGTCGGGGTATTCGTCAGCGTCTCGGTAGGCTTTCTTGAGGCGAACTGAAACACTGACAGCGGGAAGGGTATCGATAATGGCCATCTTTGAGGGAAGCCTGATTTGATTCGTGGTGTAGAAGGTGTGATTTTGGAAGCTGTGAGCAGAAATTGAATGATCGTGAAGATTTTGGCGGCAGAAAGAAGAAAGAACAGAGAGAACCGCAACCTTGGAACGTTTGCCCTTTGAACGAAATACTGGTAGAAGAATGTGAAATAGTGAGTCCCCTAGAGAAAGGACTGCGGTGGGATCGAGAAGAGAAATGGAAAATAATTTGTGACGTGCCTCTGGTGGAAGAGGGAGAAGTGTGGCCGAGAGAGGATGTGGAACAGGTGGAAGGCTTTGGGGTAGGTGTAGACGAGAAGCCCGTCACTTCCTGATCCATACCTTCCATCGTTGTAGATTCGGCTCCCGCCTCAAGTTGGTGATTTTCCCATGGATAGTAGAAGGTGCGCTTAGCAGGCAGGCACCTGCCTCCTTCCTACTTAAAGAGATATTCCGCGGCCAGCCATGGTAAGGTCTGGAGTGAATGAACTTACGTCTTTTTGAGAACTACTGCAACATAGAGCGTAATAATTATGAGAGAATTCTCAATGTGCAAACGGCATAGATACTCAGATACCTAACGATCAGTTTGATTAGAATCCCTTGAAGGTGTGGTGTTGAGATCGTGTAAGTGACATTCATGAGAGTGGGTACGTACCGCTCCGCTTTCCGTCCTTGCCGTCCCCGAATCAGAGGACGGGACTGCTGAGGTAAGGCGCCGAGGTGACAGTGACGCTAGAACTGTGAAAGGAAACGGGGACGTGGATCCCACCCCTGCAGCGCGCGCCGAATGGGGCCCGCCCGACTCGCAGCAACGCTGGAGCTAGCCCAGCTCGCTCAACTTCCATCTCCCGCCAACTCGGAGAGCCCATGACGTTCAATGCACCTGTCAGGACTCCTTGTCCATCTCCAATCCACGAAATTAGACGCGACGATGGTTGATACCAGACATGTGATGACTACTTGATTCGTTGCAGCCTCAATCAATCCTTTTCCCTCCCCTCCGCCCGGACGAGCGCCATCATGTCTCCAGAGGCCTCCAGCAACATTCGAGTCTTTATCCGCTGGCACGACCAGACCGTCTTCGCTGGCGAGGAGATCAAATGCACCATCACTTTCAAGAACATTGCTCGCGATCCGAATCAACAACGGCAGTCCCAACGACTCGCACCTGTAGACCGACCGAGGCATGTCTCGCCCTTGCTAAGAGGCAAGTCTAGCGCTGGCTTGACCCCGCCGAACTCAGCTCAAACCCGCGGTCATCGATCTGCTCTATCCCTCAATGTACCAGTCGCTCAATCGCGAAGCCGCGCGGGCTCAGTGCCGTGGACACCATCACATCCTCCCAGTGCTCTTGAGCACCGTGGCAATGGCCACAAGAAGTCCGTTTCTATTGTGTCAATTGGTTCCACAAGCACCGTACCCGACGACAATCAGAGTAACGCTAGCTCCGTAAAGGCGCATCGGCCTGGTCGCGGTCATGCTCGGGCATCCAGTCTACAGATTGTGCCTCGGGGGGCTGCTCTGGGGCTCGGTCTCACAGCGCCTCACTCTGGTCAGTATTCTGGTTTCTGATATTGATGCAGAGTCTAATTGTCAACTCCATTACAGCATCACCGAGGCACATAAGCTCCCCTTTGTTCAACTCGACATCCGCTTCCGACACACCCCCATCCAACTCGAGATCTTCGACCGCACCGAATACCCCTGGCGTGGCAGGCTCACAACGTCCCATGAGATCGCCTTCCAACGCGCTGGCCGACTTTCGGTTTCCAATGGTCCAGTCGCCACTGTCGGACACGCAAAGCACACCGGTAGCGTCACACCATGATGGGCTATTAAGTCCAAACACCGAAGTGCCCCCAACCCTGGCTATACGGAACAAAGACGGCGTACTCACCAATCCTATCGAGCATCCTACACCAGCCATGCGAATACTTTCGACGACAAGCATGGGCGGAGGAACGCCACGCAGCAGTGGGGAGTTCTACTCAATGAGCAACAACTCTACGGAAACTCTGGCGTCTGAGTATCCAACTCAACCCACGCGGGGCCCTATGCGGCCGCCGCATTTCCGAAAGTCTTCCAACTTTGCCTCACATAACCCGAGGCAACCGGAATCGTTGATGATGGGCTACGCTCAAATTCAAGGCTCATTCACCCTGGATGGCTCACTCATCAACCTCGGGCCGTTTGAACAGGTCAAGCGAAAGGCCGTTGTCGGCGGTCAAGGAGGTGGTGTCATTGGTGTAGAGCCTGCGAAACGGGATAGCGGACTGCTTCGAAGTTTCGGTTGGGGGAGTATCAGCAACTCAATCGGAGAGCTGCTTGGAGCCGGCGAGGTCAGCAGCATCAAAGATATGCGCGGCATCGCCAGTGCCAAGTCTGTCCCTTTGCTCTCGACTCCACAGTCCATCTTGTTTGTGGACTTGAACCTGGCTCCCGGAGAGCACAAAGCTTTTGAGTATTCGTTTCAGCTCCCAAAGGGCTTACCGCCGACACATAAGGGAAAAGCAGTGAAGATCTCTTACAATCTGGTCATCGGTACGCAGCGAGCAGGCGGCTCTAAAGAGCAGCAGGTGCGCTCCGTTGAGATTCCCTTCCGGGTCCTCGGCAGTGTAAACAGCCATGGAGAAATTCTTGGTCATGATCTCATGAATCCATACATTATACTTCGCGATCAGGCGAAAATCAAGACTGTCGACAAACTGTCGACTCTCAGCGAGATCAAGAAGCTAAAATCGACCAAGACGGATGCAACGATTAATGAATTCCTCGTATATGTCGACGAGCTTCTAACAAGGCCACGGCAGGGGTCCAACGCAGGGCTGCTATCACCCACGGCATACCCCAGCTCTCGGCGTCCATCAGTGTTTGAGGAGGCGACGACGGCCACAGAGGCCATTAACCTGGCTATCATGCGCAGTAACCTGACTTCCGAGGGTCAGCAGAGCCCGAATCGCTTCGAAATTGCCCGCAACGGACAGCGAGTGGGTGTCGTTATGCTTACACGCCCCTCGTACCGTCTGGGCGAAGTTGTTACTATGGCCATCGACTTCACAGACGCCGAGATTCCCTGCTACGCGGTTCATTCCTGTCTCGAGTCGGCCGAGCGAGTCGAGCCGCATTTGGCCATCCGCTCAGAAGCCTCCATTCACCGCGTAACGCGGAAAGTCCATGTGTCTGCGTCGGAGGCGACGCTCTACTCGCGGAGAATGGTCTTCACTCCGACCATTCCTATTACTGCGACACCAGAGTTCGTCACCACAGGTATCTCATTCGAATGGAAGATCCGCGTGGAATTCGTGGTGCCGAGCCAGGAGACCGAGCTGGAGCGTGAGGCGCCTAGCACGCATCCATTACTAGAAGAAATATCCCGGGACGAGCGCGGAGGTCTAGTGCTCGTGGCAGTAGAAAACTTGGCGTGCGAGAGCTTCGAGGTTGCAGTCCCCCTGCGTGTATACGGTGCCGTGGCAACGGGGCTCGAGAAGCTGGAGCGGGACGAGGCGTTGGAGGAAGGACTCGCTGTTTGATTACGATGATGTGGTGGGATCATACACACCACACATGGTGGGTTTGCAAGGCAGGGCAGATGGAGCCAGACAGAACGAGGAGATTCATTCGCGGGCGTTGGATAGAAAAACACTTATTTTCTGGAACACGGCACCACCGTTTTTTTTTTCTTCTTCCGCGAAGCAATTTACAGAGACTTTTCACTATTCTCATCACCCCAAAAAAAAAAAAGAGTTCACCCCCCCGGTGCTGGACTGGGGGCTACATCTCTTGGTGCTCATGCCGGGAAATTCTGGTGCTCATGCCGGGACTCGAACTCGGGTGCTCTCGTATGCGCTTAGCCTGTCGTCGAGTAGGCTGGTTGGCGTAGACAATTGGTGTTGACCATGAACCACTCCACCACCCAGCCAGTTTGACCTGACCCGTCGACCTAGACGGGCGCCTGCTGGCTGGTGACTGGAATTGGGTTGAGGGGGTATATGAAGGCTTGCTTCTGGGTATTCGTGTTGTGTATTCGGGTGGTGGCGGGAAAAAGTTATCGGATGAAGGTTCGGGAGGAGGAAGGTGAGGAAGGTGAGGAAGGTGCCAGGGGGTGGGTGGTGGGTGAGAACCGCTGTGTCTCTCCTTGGACGGGTTGCCTCGAGCAGGCGCATTTTACAGACCTTTCTAGCTAGGCAGGACCGTCTGTTTGAGCAGGTTTGGGTGGTGGCCGTATTGCTTTCCTCACTTTGTATGTGTGCAATGCGGCATGAGTCTCCCTCACCCTGCCTGCCTTGCTTCAAGGTCACATCAGGCCCGACTTCATGCAGTAGACTTACATGATCAGTCATTTCAATAACTCAAATCAGCTCATTACGACTTCACTTGGGACCTGGATCGATCAAGACTGTAGTAATAGCTGGTCAACGACGAGGTACACCTCGTCATGTTGTATTCTCATTGCCCCTAAGAACAAGCAGAGGGGGCAAAATATGTAAAGATGTAAACCGAAGAGAGCAGGCCCTGAGGATCAAGTAGTCAAGGTTGCAAAAAGCCGCTAGAAATCGGCATCCAAATTTCCCTCGTCCTCTTTTGTTCGTATCCACGGTGCCCAAAGTAAGGTGCCTCCGGGTGTAGTGTAAATAGTATGTTATCCCCCCAATCCCCTGACCTCCCCAGACCACTCCCGCATTTCTGTCCCATTATGTCCTTGGGCACATTGAAAACTCCTAGCTCCAGTTCGCCGCCCCTGCCCCCTCAGGACTCCGTGATCTTTTAATGTATGTGGCGGATGTGTCCCTCTTTCGCAAATCAAAGGAATAAAAAAGAAAAAAAGTCGCTACTGCTGTGTCGAAAGAGTGACGGATAAACAAATAGACGATATTTACCGACAATTCAAAGGTAGGGGTTACGATGCCCCTTTCCGCCTGCGATATCCCCAAAGTCCAAGGCTGAGCACATCTAGAATTTGTGCTGTAAAGTAGGTCGATGATCAATCTTCCCCCCAA